CCCCGTGGAATAAATGATTGCTTCATGACACTCCATCTTACCCTTACTCAGAACCAGTATGTCAGTGTTCAGTGCATATGCAGCAGCTGAGGGCAAGAACGTGTTCTACCCTAGCCTTGAACAATCTCTGTCATGGCTCCCTGCAGTGAACAAACTAATTATTCTCGGCGACTTCAATGCGAGAGTCAGTAAAAGTGCAAACCTTTGGGGCAATGTACTCTGGGAAAGAGGGAGCAGGGAAGCAAAACTCCAACAGCATCCTTCTCATGACCAAATGCCGGGAACACAACTTCCTCATCACTTACACAGTTCCGCCAAAGGGACAAACGCAAGACAACATGGCAGCACCCACATTCCAAACACTGGTACCTCCTTGACTATGTCGTCGTCCGAGCAAGGGATCGGGAAAAACATTAAAATTACCTGTGCCATGACAGGAACTAACAACAGCTAGATGGACCATCACCTGATCTGAGCCAGGATCAACATAAATATAGCCCTGTCGCAGTGGAGATAACAGAACAGTGCTGCAAGAAGTTCAGTGTTGAGGCATTGTCAACGCCTGGAAAATATAGCCTCATACAACCAACTCCTCTCCACAAACTTAGTGACCCTTGGCAACTTCCAGTCACTGGATCCCAACAACCTCTGGTCCACCTTCAAGACCACCATCATCAATGCCTGCAAAAACTCGGCTGGTCACTCAGCCAGGAAACACCAAGACTGGTCTGATGAGAATGATCAGGAGATCCAAGAACTGATCAAATGGAAGTGCATGGCATTTCTGAATGTAAAGCAATAACTGCACTCAAGAGAAAAGACAGGCCTGCAGGCAACTGAAGGCCGAAGTCCAACAACAAACTGGAAACATAAAGAACAGGTGCAGAGCTGGATGAACACAGCAGGCCAAGCAGCATCATAGAGAAAGGCTGACGTTTCGGGCCTTCATCAGAAATGGGCCTAGACCCTTCATCAGGTGGTTGGTGGAGAAAGCACTGGAGGCCCAACAAATGGCTGACAACCATGAAATGCAGGGTTTCTTCTGTGCTGTCAGGCCCACCTACAGACTGAACATCCAAGGCCCCACCGTAAAGCTGATCAAGGATGGAGTGACTCTTGTCAAAGACAAAGAAGCCATCAAACAATGCTGGGGGCAGCACTTCAGAGAGCACCTCAACAAGGACTGTGTAATTGATCCGAGTGTCCTTAAACGCATCCCATAGCACACGACAGAGCCATGAGCCCTGCACGAAGTAGAGAAGGTCATCTGCCACCTTATGAACAACAAGGCTGCTGGAGCAGACAGTATCTCCACTGAGGCACTGAAGTGTGGAGGCAGACAGCTCCTGCTGCAGCTACATGCCCTTGTCTGCCTTATTTGAAAGAGGGGAGCATAATGAGGAGAGCATCCCAGGAGACTTATGCAATGCCACTGTTGTGAGTAGCTTCAAAAAAAGGGAACAAGTCCGACTGCAGTGAATCTCCCTGCTGTCGACTGTTGGAAAAGTCCTCATCAAGGTCCTCCTCAACCATCTCTCTATGGCTGAGGAATCCTCCCAGAATCATTGTGCCCGAACATGGTGGGAAACCACACTATGAACATGATTTTCACCACGTGACAGCTGCAGGAGCAATGCAGAGGAAAGAATCTACCCCTACATGGCCTTCTTTGACCTTACAAAGGCCTTTGACACTGTCAGTTGGGAAGGATCACAGAGTGTCCTTGTCTTTTTGTTGTACCATAAAGCTTGTCACCATCCTGCGCCTGGTCCACGACAACATGGAAATTGTGGTAAAGTCAAATGGACCCATCACCAATCTATTCCCCATTTGGACCAGTATTGCACAAGGCTGTGTCATGACCCCAACACTGTTCTTTATCTACCCTACTGCAATGATTCACCTCCCGCTGACTATTTCCGCCCTTGGGTGAAGCTAACTTACAGAACCAGTGGGAAATTACTCAACCTCCACCGCTTCCGAGCCAAAACCAAAGTCATCCCAACCGGTGTCATTGAGCTACAGTACGCAGATGATGAACTTGTGTATGTGCAGACTCAGAGGACGTAATCCAGACCATTGTCAGCACCTTTTATGGAGGCATATGAGAGCATGGGTCTCACCCTGAACATGCATAAGACAAAGGTCCTCCACCGACCTGGCCCAGCATTGTGGAGCAAACCCCCCATCATCAAGATCCACGGGGAGGCCTTGGAGAACATTGACCACTTCCAATACTTCAGGAGTGTCCTGTTGGCCAAAGTAGCTTTGGGTGAAGAGATCCAGCACCGCCTCCAGTGTGCTATCGCAGCATTCGGCCGCCTAAGGACAAGGGTGTTCAAGAACAACAACATCAGATCCGACACCAAGATCGTGGTTTACAGAGCTGTGGCAGTTCCTGCCCTCCTGTATGGCTCTGAGGTGTGGACTGTCGACAGCAGACACCTCAAGGAGCTAGAGCAGCACTATCAGCGCTGCCTGTGCAAGATCCTGCAAATCCATTGGGAAGAAAGATGCACCAACACCAGCATCCTAGACCAAGCCAACCTCCCTAGATCAAGGGGTATTGACCACTCTTGATCGACTGCGATGGGCTGGGCACATCATCCGCATGACAGACACCAACTCCCCAAGCAAGTGCTTTACTCCCTGCTCTGAAACCGCAGACGAGCCCCAGGTGGACAGAGGAAGCGCTTCAGCGATACCCTGAAGGACTCACTGGCGAAGTATCGCATTCCCACAAGCACCTGGCAATCACTGGCCCAAGACCGTCCAAAGTAGAGGAAGAGCAATCGGGAAGGCGTTGGATACCTTGAGACTTGCTGTCGGGGAAAAAGCAGAAGCCAGGTGTAAACAGCATAAGGAGTGTACTGCCACACCAATGCCCCACCTACCCCTTCTGTCCCAAGTGTAACAGAACCTGCAGAAACCGCATCTGTCTGTACAGCCACTACAGACTCCCTGTGAGTGGAAAGAAGCCATCCTCATATGTGAGAGACTGCCAATGTTGAATGAATTGGCCCATTCTTTTGCAATCATTCATTAATGTAATGTCATGTTATGAATTTAGTAGTTTCTTACAATGGAGCCTCAACTAACTTGTCTGTTGTTCTTTGCTTTAATTCTTTTTGTTTTGAACAAAGGCATTGCATTCTGCATTGCTGGTTTACCAATACAGTTCCTGTTCCAAAACATTTTTATAGTTGTCTTCTGTTTCCTTCTCTGCACCCTCCTTTAGTTTGTCATATAACAGTCATACGTACATATCAGCAATAGGTCCATTTCAGAGAATGCTGCAAATGATGAAATTCACGAGGGCGGAGTGTATCTAAAAATACATGTTAAAAATAGGTGAAAAATTGCAGATATGTGAGTTTTGCTGTGGATGTTGAAATTTGTTGCTACTTGTGTTTTGGCATGGATAGATGAATTTGTGAGTCTTGAATTCATGGATAATGAGGATTTACTGTACATCACATGGGTGTGGTGATTCCATGCCTAATTTGAGAATTCTGGCATTTAGTCGTCCCTTCTGTGGACTTCTCGCATGATTCTGCCTAATTATAATACAAAGAATTTACAATCCAGAAACAGGCCATTTACTCTAACTGATCTCTGCCACTGATTTATGCTCCACAGGACTACCTGCCTCTTTACTTCAACTAACTCTATCAGCATTTCTGTCCAGTCCATTCTTCATGTACTTGTTGAGTTCCACTTTAAATACATTAACTTAACTGCTACTTATAGTAGCAAGTTCACATTCTGATTACTGTTATTAAAATTTTTCCTCAATTTCTTTTAATTGGGTTTAGCAGTGATTATCTTCTACTTCTTTTAAAACCTCTTGTTTCAACTGCCCAGAAGTGAGAACATGCTATCCATATTTTACCACTAAATTCCTATTTAAAAATTTCCTTTTATGTCAATGTTAATTGCAATGTCTAGCCTAATATCCCAGTTTTATTATGGTTTTATTTACAAATGTTTTGTTCCCTGTATTTGAAATACTGAATCTCAACTTTATTGATAGTTTACAGTCGTATACTGTTAAGGCCCAAGTATTTTCAACCATCAGCTGTGACTGAGTTGGTTGAAAACTGGTCCCTGAATCTAAAGGTTGTGGGTTTAAGTCCACTTCAGTGTTATTCATGCTTTTGTATTTACAGGAAAGCACTTATTTTCCAACAGCTGTTAATTGTTTTTTTTTTAATGTTCTTCTTTCAGGTATTCTGGAAAGTCCCACAGAGAAAACAGAGGGAATGTGCAGCTAAAGGAAAATCCAAAGTGGTAAATTTAGAATTAAACTGATTATAAAACTCTTCTTATGATTAAAACTGAGATTACACTGGCAGAACTCTGAGAAAGAGAATAAATGGTGTTTATTTGCTATTCAGGTGGTTTTATAAGGTTCTGCTTAATCTCCTTATGGAATTGTGTAGATTAAGAAAAGCCCTGTTAAAGTTCAGAGCTTGTAATGGTAAACCACATCAACCTATTGATTTTGTTGTAAGAATGTGTTCCTCCATTGCATTATTCCAACACTTTTTTTTTTGTTTTAGACTGAATGTCTGAACTACATACGCATCTTGCATGAATTTAGTAATGAAAAGCTCTATGTGTGTGGGACTTTTGCATTTCAACCAACCTGTGATTACCTTGTAAGTATGATTGTTAATGTTGGTAAAATATTCTTATTTGCTTCATTGAAATAAACTGAACAACTTATTTAGCGACTTGTTTTCCATTCAGTCAGTTAAGAATTTTACTCTACAAGGCCAAAATGAAGAAGGTAAAGGAAAATGTCCATTTGATCCTGCTCAAAGATATACTTCAGTTATGGTCGGTAAGTATACAATGGTAACCAATCTTACAAATCAGTTACAAAGTCTTGTAAAACGATTTTAATCTTAATTTAATTTTTAAATTATTTAGTTCAATGCATAAATATTGTGTTATAATAGGTTTACATGACTAAGTAACTTGAATCTAGCCAGACAGATGTAAATTTTGAAAATTCGTTCATTGGATGTGAGTGTCACTAGCTGGGCTGGCAATTTTTGGCCATCCCTAATTACGTTAGAAACAGAGTGGCTTGCTAGGATCATTTAAGAGGGTAGTTAAGAATCAACTTCATTGCTGTGCATCGGCAGTCACATAAAGGCCAGACCAAATTAGGATGACTAATGTCCTTTTACAGAAGGAAGTCTGTGGAACAGATGGGTTTTTGCAAGAATCCACAATGGTTACATGGTTGCCATTAGGCTGGATTTTAAAACCAGTTTTTTTTTATTGAATTTCCACCATCTGCCATAGTGGAATGTGAATCCGTGCCTCCAGAACCTTATCTCTGGTGGATAATTCGTCCAGTGCCATGACCATTACACCACCACCTCCCCTTCTTTACAATAATTGCTGAGGAAAATGCTGCAAGCCACATTCAGACCCACACTATGCATTCTTGTTTTGAAAGTTATGCTAATTGTTGGGGATAGCAAATGGAGCTTTCTTTAAAAAAAAAATAGATAAGTTTTCCCTTCTTTCTGGCTGTATGGTTTCTATGTGAGATAAGTTTGGTGGTCACAGCCACTTCCAGCTTGGTTTGGGTTCGATTGTAACTACTGCTTACCCGGATGCTTAATTTTACAAGATTGATGAGTGTGACGCTTGAGTTCGCAAAGCTGTAGGAAAGGGAGTTTCTGTATAATGTTAGAGGTGCGACACATTGTCAAGGTACATGATAGGATATTTGTTTGTTTGGGAGCTCTTGATCATTGCCAAATAAAGAATCCATGGTATTGACATCTTTCATTTCCAAAAATAGAAGCATGTCAGTTGGAGAGCAAAAAAACTTTAATAAAATTCATTTGGAAATAGCTCTGGTAGTCCTAGTATCTTTTCAAATTATCCTCCCTACTCAAGCAGGGAATTGTTCTTCTTAACCGAACATCTCTACACCCCCATGATAGCTCAGTTGAGAATGAGAATACAATGAAGAGCGTTGCAAGTGTGAATGAGTGCCCTACAAACTGAAGTGAAAAGCAGAGCACTGTGAATTAATTGAGTAAACGATAATTAAATACTTGCTATTCGTATTTCTTAATTGAGCACCTATTAGCTGCCTTTTATTAAAGGGCCACTTTTATTGCACTACTTCAGATGGCGAGCTTTACTCAGGAACGGTCTTCAATTTCCTGGGAAGTGAGACAGTTATTCTTCGGAGCCATTTGCGGACAGAATATGCAATACCCTGGTTAAATGGTAAGTGTATTTCAGTTCTAGATTCCAGTCTCTGTTTTGCATTGTTTTTCCAGGTCCTTCAATACAGGAGGAGTACTGCCTTGGCTAACAATAATTGGATTATTGCTGTTCTTTTCTCGGAATACCAAAAACATTTTAAGCTAATTATTTATTTCCTTGCTGTTAATGATTCTGCGCTGTACAAGTTGACTGCAGTATTTCTGACATTGCAACAGTGATGGTATTTAGCTGCTCTAGTTGGAATTTAGTCATAGCAGGCAATTCCTAGGAAAACAGCAGAAACACTTTGTCTTGTTTGTTCCTGGAAATAAAGATAAACATGTTCATTATCAGGGTTGTTTGGTAGGGTTCCAGTGGATCTGTAGATGATCAAGGCCAGTCTGTGTCCTGAAGGTTCTGTTGTCATTAGAACAGATAACACAGGCTGTTGAGACAGAAGAGTTAACTGGCCTGGGCCTACTATTTTTAGATGCAATAGTTTCCTTCTTCTATTTTCTCTCGGTCTTTTGATGTGCAATTGTTTTTGAAGGGAGCTGTGCTGTTTTGTATTTTTACTTGTTTGGGCCAAATGCAGCAATCTTGGAAGAGCTACTCCTAGGACTCAAAGTTAATATTGAAATTCATAGATGAAACCCTCCATGTCCTAATGCTTCCTTTGACTGACATGAGAGTGCCATCCAGACTTGAGCTCTCCATAGAAGATTCATTTTGGTAAGTGAGTATCAGACATTCTGGCTGCATGACCATCTCAACTCAGTTCCGACCTCTTCAATATGGTGTGGATGATTGACAGTCAGCTCAAGTGAACAGCTCAGTGTCTTGTATTTTGTCCTGCCATCTGATCTTCAGAAGATTCCAAAGCCAGCACAAGTGCAAGTGGTTGAACATCTTGGCATGACATTGAAGCATGATCCAAACTTCATATGAATTATTAAAATCGTTATTATCATAGAATCCCTGCAGCGTGGAAACAGGCCACTTGGCCCAACAAGTCCACACTGCCCCTCCAAAGAGCATCCCACCCAGACCCATCCCTGTATCCCTTCATTTCCCATGGCTAATCCACCAAACTTACACACCCCTGGACACTATGTGGGCAATTTAGCATGGCCAATCCACCTAGTCTGCGCATCTTTGGACTGTGGGAGGAAACCAGAGCACCTGGTGGAAAACCACACAGACATGGAGAAAATGTGCAAACTCCACGTCAATAGTTGCCCGAGGGTGGAATCAAACCCGGGTCCCTGGCGCTGTGAGGCAGTATTGCCACCCCAAGTCTTAAGGACTGATAATGTTTGAAGAAATCTGAACACCCAGGCATAAACAGATTTCACATTTTTAGACAAAAGAGTATCCAAATAGAAATTAAAGAAAACAAGTTCCACTGACCTAATAATAGAATTGATAAAATATTTTGTCATCTACTCACTTGTACTATGTTTTCTCCCCTGCACTCTTCCTCTGGCCACCAAAGAGTCCCTTGTCTCATGAAATCTTGAAGATTGCAGGAAAGAGAGGCATGTTGCTGTAGCTTTTTGTTTTGCAATCACCAGGCCAAGTGAAAGAATATTAAGCTTAAAATAATCACAACAATATATACTTTAAAGTTTTGGCAAAGATCTGTAGCTCGGGTTGTGGATGAGGTTGTTGACTTGCTCGGCGAGCTGGCTTGTTTTCATTCAAATGTTTCATCACCATGCTAGGTGGCATCATCAGTGGAGCCTCCGATGAAGCGATGTTATTCTAGTCCACTTGGAATTTATACTGTCCGGTCTGTTATGGTGAGTACTGTCATTTCCAGTTTTAATCTGTATGGGTTTGTATATGGGGTCCAATTCTATATGTTTGTTGATTGAAGTATGGGTGGAGAACCATGCCTCTAGGAATTCCTGTGCATGTCTGTGTTTGGCTTGGGTTACTATGGTTACCTTGTGCCAGTTAAATCGATGGCCTTCATTGTCTGAATGTACCGATATTAAGGAGAGTTTGCCATGCCATTTTGCTGCTAGCTGATGTTCATGTATTCTGATGGCTAGTTTCCTTCCTGTCTGTCCGATGCAATGTTTGTGGCAGTCATTGCATGGCATTTTGTAAACCACGTTCGTTCTGCATGTTGTGGAAATTGGGTCTTTAATCCTTGTAAGTGTTTGTCGTAGAGTGGCTGTGGGCTTGTGGGCCACCATGATTCCTACTAGTCTTAAGAGTCTTGTTGTCAGTTCCGATATGTTCCTGATGTAAGGAAGTGTGGCTAATATGTTAGGAGTACTCCTGTTGTCTGTTTTGTAGGCATCTGTGGATGAAGTCGCACGGATATCTATTTAAATCAAGGATCTTGTTTAAGTGTTCTTCCTCTTTCCTGCATAGTTCTGGAGTATTGCAGTGTGTCCTGGCCCGTTTAAACAGTGACCTAATGCAGCTTTCTTTGTGGACATTGGGGAATTGATCCGTATGGGTTGTTTTGCTGTATACCGAGGTTTGGAACTCCCCATTTGTCAATCGCTCTAACGTCCAGAAACAGAAGTTGATTGTTGTTTTCACAGAATCCCTACAGTGTGGAAACAGGCTATTCGGCCCAACAGGTCCACACCGCCCTTCTGAAGAGCATCCCACTCAGACCCATTCCCCTAATGCTGCATTTCCCATATCTAGTATACCTAACCTAAACATCCCTGGGCTCTATGGGCAATTTAGCATGGCCAATCCACCTAGCCTGCACATCTTTGGACTGTGGGAGGAAACTGGAGCACCCGGAGGAAACCCACGCAGACACTGGGAGAACATGCAAACTCCACATAGACAGTCGCCCTAGAGTGGAATTGAACCCGGGTCCCTGGCGCTGTGAGGCAGCAGTGCTAACCACTGGGCCACCGTGCCATTTTGTTCTTCCCTTGTGAATCTAATCCTTGTGAATATGCTGTTGATGAGGTGGTGGGTCTCTTCTAATTTGTTGCATTTAATAATGACAAATGTATCGTCTATGCACTGGACCCACAGTTTAGGTTGAATGTACGGGAGGGTGGTGTGTTCTAGTCTTTCCATGACTGCTTCTGTGATGAGTCCTGAGATGGGTGACTCCATTGGTGTACCATTGATCTGTTTGTATATTTGATCATTGAAGACAGAGTGTGTGGTGAGGCAGACGTCTAGTAATTTAAGTATGTTGTCCTTGCTGATGGAGCTGCTGGTCTGTGTTGCTGTTTCCTCTAGTGATGTGGCCACTGTGTCTTTGGCTAGTGGGATGTCAATTGATGTGAATAAAGCTGTGACATCAAAGGATACCATAGTCTCGTTGCTGATTTTTATGCTCCTGATGGTATCGAGGAAATCTTGGGTTGAGTGGATAGAATGGGGTGATCCATCATTCAGACAATGAAGGCCATCAATTTAACTGGGACAAAGTAGCCATAGTAGCCCAAGCTAAAAATAGACATGCACAGGAATTCCTAAAGGCATGGTTCTCCACCTGTAATGCAATCAACAAACACATAGAATTGGACCCCATATACAAACCCATACAGATCAAAACCAGAAATGACAATACTCACCATAACAGACCAGACAGTATACATTCCAAGTGGAGTAGAATAACATCGCTTCATCGGAGGCTCCACTGATGATGTCACCTAGCATGGTGACGAAATATATGAACGAAAACAAGCCAGCTCGGCGAGCACGTCAATAACCACCATATATATTTTATGTTTGGGAGGAGAAAATGCCCTGATTAGTTGGCAAGTTGACTCTGGCCAAAGTGTTGCCATGGGGAACTAGTTCGCAGCTAGTTCAGAAAGTTATGCAGCTTGAACATATTTGTTTACTTTATAGAGAACGTATTTCTGTGTTTGAACGTATGTTGCTTCCAGCAAGCGTAAATAAGCCATGTTGCAAATTCAATTGATTATTTTAAATTGGCTGCTAGTGTAGCAATTAGCACCCTCTGATTTTTACAACAAGCGCTGTCCAATAGTGGAATTGCATCAAACAGTATGTTTTAGGTTTTGTAAGCATGGGCTGGTTGAATACAATCTATGCGCTGCGTTTTACAAACAATCGAAAGAACGTGCTATTTGATTTGATCTGCCAATTGTCAGGATACAAGATACCTGATATAGCACTGGCACTGACTGTCATACATGACATTGTTCAGTTGTATGGTAGGTAGATTGTTTTACCTTATGCTGTAACCAGTAGTATGGGACTAGCTACGCAAAAAAGCTGACAATTGATCAGACCTTTGGATTGGTAAACTCTGTGGTTTTAGCTGGGTAAACTTCAGGAGTGTCCTTGAGGGTATATCCGTGTCCCCAACTGAAATTTAATGTTCAATGAGGATGGGATTTAATGGTATGGAAATCTTTCTTCAACTATACGGGGTACTGGTGAGATGGTGCCTGGAGTGCTGTGTACAGTTTTGATCTCCTCACTTTAGGAAGGATATACTTGAATTTGGAAGCAGTTTAGAGATGGTTCACTTGGCTGATTCCTGGGATTAAGGGTTTACCTAATGAGGAAAGATTGAGCAGGTTGGCTGACGCTCATTGGAGTTTAGAAGAATGAGGTGATCTTACTAAAACATCGAAGATCTTGAGGGAATTTAAACTTTGGGTAGCAATAGGGTATTTTGCCTTTTGGGGAAACTTGGAACTAGTCAGCACTGATAATAATAAGGTATCTCCTGATTAAGATGGTGATAAAGTGAATTTCCCTCTTGGAGGGTGGTTGTTCTTGGAATTTTCTTTGGTAGAAAGCAGTGGAGATTGGATATTTGAATTTACACTACTTGAGGTAGGCTGGACACCATTTTAAACCACCTGAGAGTTAATAGTTATGGACAACAGGCAAGAAAGTGAAGTTGCATGTAAAACATGATTTTAGGGTATGGTGTAGCAGGTTACATAGGTCAAATACCAGCTCCTGCCCCTGTTCCTTATCATATTATACACTCTTGACTGGAATAGGAAGACTGTATCACTGTGAGTTAAACTTTACCGCAAGCTTGGGGATGCTGAGATCTGGCCGGATTGCCAGTGGGAACGGTTTGGTACTTTTACTGAAGTTGGGCAATTAGCTTCCTCTGGACCCATCATCCAAATAAGGGCAACAGGTGGGTTTCTGATGCTGCAGACCCACTGAAAGGACTAGTAGCTCTGAAAGCTCAGGAGCCTGACTGTAAAAAACACAAAATTGGGTGCTGCTAAGACTGATGGGACAGGGTGCAGGAGGGTGGGGTAGAGGTGCTCTTGAGCAAATAAATACAAACTTAAAATTCTGACTGCCTGAGGATGATAGGCTACGATGGTGACAGGGGAAGTCTCCAAAGAATTGTTCAAGTCATTGGGGGTTCTTCTTGCCCCATGGCTTCTGTCAACCTCAGGCTTCAAAGGTCTCTCTGAAGCTGGTGGCACCCCCACAAGCCCGATGGCAGCCCTACCAACTACTGGTGTCCAAGTAAAATTGTTCCTAATCAGGGTTCTAGTTGTGTAAATTTGTTGTGCTGCTTGCAACTCCCACCAGGAATTCTCTCCAGCAGTGGAACATTGATGGCAAGCTATCCCAAGGTAGCTCCCTGCTGTTTTACTGGCTGTTTTCCCTCCTCCGTTCCTGTCACTTGTAAACTGCCCTGTATGTAGAAAGTGAGCATGTAATTATTTTTGTTTTGATTGAAGGAATTCTTAAAGTATTTAAGTGCATAGCTGGTACAAATCTCATCCAGAAAGTTGGCCCATTTTTGCTGAGTTAAGCCCAATGGAGATTTGTTTCTGTTAAGGGTTATTAGTCACAGAGTACATGAATAGTTTTCCAATTATGTTTGTTCTTTTCTGCAGAGCCAAGTTTTGTCTACTCCGATGTGATAAGAGAGAGTGAAAATAGTTTGGATGGTGGTGATGATAAAATTTATTTCTTCTTCACTGAAGTGTCCGTTGAATACGAATTTAATAGCAAACTTCTCGTACCACGAATAGCGCGAGTGTGCAAGGTAAGGTCTGGCAGTACTAACCAATTAATCCTAATAAATTATTGTACAAAGACCTCGAGTATCAAAAAAAAATTGTTTGCAATAATCAGTTCTTGTTGCCAAGCATTATGATAACTTGTAAAATAGCTTGATTAGAAGGGAATGATCATGGCGAGCTAAAAGCATTTTTTGGGTATTCTGTTACCTGAATCTAAATCTTCTGTCTGGTTACTGTGGATGTTGACTGTATTCTGAAATGTGGATTATGGAATGGCTCTTGGTACCCAAGAGATGTATTCTTCAGCAACAATCACAACTGTTAAAAGCATAGCAAGCGGTAAAGACTCCATAAAACCGAAAGAACTGCAGATGCTGTAAATCGGGAACAAAAACAAAGTTGCTGGAAAAGCTCAGCAAGTCTGGCAGCATCTGTGAAGGAAAAACCAGAGTTAACATTTCGGGTCTGGTAACCCTTCCTCAGGTAAAGACTCCAGGTTGTCTTTGGAGTCTTTCTTAGTGTCAATGTGATTTGCTTTAAATGGGCTTGACAATGTTATTTATGTTAACCCAGAACTACTTGGAAGTATTTGATTGCAGACCTGAACAAGAACGTGTCCCAAACTTGATGAAAGTTCATGTGTATGTTATAATAATTTGGAATTTTTTAAATGTGAATAGTTCAGGACAGAAATATGAGTAAAAGATAGGATATTGAATTGGGCTGATGATCAGCAACAAAATGTCCTATGACATGAGGAAACCGAGATAGAAATAAATTCTTTCAGAAAGACAGAACAATCCAAAATATCATGGATTGTTCAGATTTCTTTCAGAGATAAAAGCAGGTTAATCAGAAAGAAAAAGGCCTGTAATATCAACATTTCAGTTTAACTATCTTCAAGATAATCAAGCCAGACAGAAATAAGTCCTGAGTAGCTTAACGTCAGTAAAAGAAAAGCTTCAGATAGAAAAGGCTGTAGAGGAGCAGTTTAAGAAGTCCTTGTTAAGAAATAAGTGAGTTGTACCAGCAGCTTGTTTAAAGATCTCGGGAAGAGATATTACTAGCTAGTTTACTCTCATATTTCATCTTCTCGCGCACCCCCAGATATTGTTTTTTTACTTATCCTCTGGTGGTTTTTAGAGGATTCGGAAGAGTGTACATTGGACCACTGGAGAATGAGGCTTGAGAAGTAGTACTGGGGAACTAAGAAATGGGAGAGGAACTGAATAGGTACTTTGCATCATTTTCAAAGTGGAAGACACCAGCAGCATACCAGAACTTCAGAAGAGTCAGGGGCAGAGGTGAATGTTGTGGCCATCACTGAGGAGAAGGTGCTGGGGAAGCTGAAGGGTCTGAGGGTGGATAAATCACCAGAATCTCAGAGATCAGGCTGTAAAGAGATGCCAGGGAACTATAGACCGATGAGCCTTAAGTCAGTGGTAGATAAGTTGTCGGAGGAGATTCTGAGTGTCGGGATTTAGATGAATTTGGAAAGGCATGGTTTTGTGTGTGGGAAATTGTGTCTCACTAACTTGATTGAATTTTTTGAAGAGGTGACAAAGAAGATTAATGGAGGCAGAGAGGTAGACATTATCTATATGGGCTTCAGCAAAACATTTAACAATGTTCTGCAAAGTAGACTGGTTAGTAAGGTTAGATCACACTGGATCCAGGGAGATAGCCAATAGGATACAAAATTGGCTTAAAAGTAGGAAACAAAGGGTGGTGGTGGAGTGTTGTTTTTTGGACTAGTGTGCCACAAGGATCACTCTGGGTCTGCTGTCATTTGTCATGTATATAAATGATTTGGGTGCAAATATAGAAGGTATGTTTGTAAGTTTGTAGGTGGCACCAAAATGGGTAGTATGGTGGACGGTGAAGAAGATTATCTCCGAGGCATCTTGATCAGATGAGTAATAGACTGAGGCATGGCAGATGGATAGTAATTTAGATAAATGTAAGGTGTTGCAGTTTGATAAGGCAAATCAGGGCAGGGCTTATACAGTTAATGGTAGAGCCCTGGGGAATGTTGCCGAACAAAGAGACCTAGGGGTGCAGGTGCATAGTTCCTTGAAAGCAGAGTCACAGGTATACCGTGATGAGCAAGGTGTTTGGCATGCTTGCCTTCATGGATCTGTGCATTGAGTATAGGAGTTGGGAGGTCATGTTGCAGCTGTACAAGACAATGGTGAGACCACTTTTGGAATACTGCGCACAATTCTGGTTGCCCTTCGATAGGAAAGATAATATTAAGCTTGAGAGGATGCAGAAGAGATTTACAAGAATTTTGCCAGCACTAGAGGGTTTGAGCTATAGGCAGAGGCTGATTAGGTTGGGGCTTTTTTCCCTGGAGCGTCAGAGACTGAGGGTGACATTGTAGATGCTTATAAAATCATGAGGGGCATGGACAGGGTGATAGCCAAGGTCTTTTTTGCCCCCAGGGTAGGGGAATCCAAAATTAGAGGGCATAGGTTTAAGGTGAGAGGTGAAAGATTGAGAAAGGATCCAAGGGGTAACTTTTTCACGGAGAGTGTGGTGGGTGTATGGAAAGAGCTGCTAGAGGAAATAGTGGAAGTGGGTACAATTACAACACTCCAAAGGCATCTGGATGGGTAAATGAATAGGAAGGGTTTAGAGGGATATGAGCCAAATGCTGACGAATGCAACTAGGCCAGCTTGGGATGTCTGGTTGGCCTGGATGAGTTGGACCGAAGTGTCACTTTCCGTGCTGTGTGACTCTGTCTCTATGACCCTACCCTAGAGTTATGAAGGAAACAGCTGAGGAATTTGTAGAGGCATTGGTGGTGATCTTTCAGGAATCGCTGGAGTCAGGGAGGGTCCCAGAAGTCTGGAAAATGGCTAATGTTACACCCCTGTTGAAGGAGGGAGGGAGCCAGAAACCAGGAATGTTAGCCTAACTTTGGTCGTTGATAAGATTTTAGAATAGATTATTAAGTATGAGATTGCAGAATACTTGGAAGTGCATGGTAAAATACAGCTGAGTTAGCAGGTCTTCATGGGGAGGTCATGCCTGACAAATCTGTTTGAATTCTTTTGAGGAGATAACCAGCAAGTTAGACAAAGGAGAGCCATTGGACCTAATCTATTTGGATTTCCAGAAGGCCTTTGACAAGATGCTGCAAGGAAGCTGGTAAATAAGATGAGACCATGGTGTTTGAGGCAAAGTACCAGCATGAATAGAGACTTGGCTGACTGGCAGAAGGTAGAGAGTATGGATAAAGGGTTCTTTTTCAGGATGGCAGCCAGTTTCTAGTGGAGTTCTACAGGAGTCAGTGTTGGGACCACAACTATTCAGGTTATACATTAATGACCTGAACAAGGGAACTGAGTGCATTGTTGCTAAGTTTGCAGATGACCTAAAAATAGGTGAAGCGACAGGTAGTGTTGAAGTGGAGAGACTGGAGAAAGACTTAGACAGATAAATGGCAGATGGAATACAATGTAGAAAAGTGTGAGGTTATGCACTTTGGTAGGAAGAATAGAGGTATAGACTATTTTCTAAACGGGGAAAAGCTTCGGAAAACTGAGGCACAAAGGGACTTGGGAGTCCGAGTTCAGGATTCACATCAGGTTAACATGCAGATTCATTTGGCACTTAGGAAGGCAAATGCAATGTTAGCACTCATTTCAAGAGGGCTACAATACAAGAGCAGAGATGTACTGCTGAAGTTGTATAAGGCACTGGTCAGACTGCATTGGAATGTAGTGATCAGTTCTGGGCCCCATATCTTAGGAAGGATGTGCTGCCTTTGGAGGGAGTCTAGAGGAACTTCACAAGAATGATCCTGTGATTGAAGGACTTGGCATACGAGGAGTGGTTAAGAACTCTGGGTCTGTACTCAATGGGGATTAGAAGGTTGAGGGAGATCTTATTGAAACTTCAACTCTATCCAACCCTCAGTGTTGTTAATGTAGAGAGATATTTCCACCAGGAGAAGAGACTGGGACCTGAGAGCACAGCCTCAGTGAAGAGACAACCTGTTAGAACTGAGATGAAGAGGAATTTCTTCAGCCAAAGGGTGGTTAATCTGTGAAACTCATTGATGCAGAAGGTTATGTGGCCAAGTCATTGCATGTTTTTAAGACAGGGATAGATTGGTTCTTAATTGGTAAGGGGATCAAGGGTTATGGGGAGAAGGCAGCGGAATGGGGTTGAGAAACATATCAGCCACGATCAAATGGCAGAGTAGATTTGATTGGCCAAATGGCCTAACTCTGCTCCCATATCTTATGGTCTTAGGAAGAGATACCAACAAATGAAATAACATTGAACGAATGCAGAAGTTGATCAAAAGGAAACTAATTGCAGTCATGCAAGCTAAACATGGAAATTCCAAGTGGAAACAAGGTGACCCTTCACTGAGGTTTAAATATCTGTTTAATTGTTGTTAAATGTACATACAAAATAGGAGCTAAAGTAGATTATTTGGCCCCTCAAGCTTGCTTGTCACTCAATAGGATTAAAGCTAATCTAAATGTGTTTAGAATTCCACATTCCCATCTACATGATAACTTTCAATTTCTTTGCCTAACAAGAATCAGGTGACAGAAAATACTGGAGAAACTCAACATGTCTGGCTGCATCTATGGAGAGAGAAACAATGTTAACTTTTTGAGTCCAGTATGCCTCTAAATACTCTGTTTTCTGCCAGCTAACCAAACATCTAACCATGCCAATATGTTATCCCCACCTCAAGATTTAATAACCTTTGATTGGCACCTTATCAAATGCCTTCTGGAAATCTAATTCCAGGATGTCAAAGGCTCCCCATTATCTACTATAATTCCCTTTCTAAAAAAAAACTTCCTGAAAAAACTACATTAAATTGGTTAAGCATGATTGTTTTTTAATGAAACCACACTGACTCATTCTGGTTGCCTTGACTTTTTCTACATGCACAGGTATAATCATTTTGATAAATTCTAATACCCCCTCATGACAGCCTTCAGGCTAACTGGCCTGTAGTTTGCTGTTTTCTGCTTCCGTCCCCTCTCAAATAGAGGAGTTATATTTACTACTTTCCAATCCAATTAAACTTTTCCAGAATCTAGGGAGTTTTGGAAAATTAACACCAATGCATTTACTACCTCATAAGCAACGTCTTTTTAGCCTGCAGCATGAAGACCATCGAGACCTGGAGACTTGTCAGCCTGTAGTTCCACGAGTTTGCTTGGTATTGTTTCCCATGTGATTGTGATTGTAATTTCGTTACGTTCCTCTTTCCCTTCCACCTCTTGGTTTTCAGTTATTACAATGATGTGTTTTGTGTCCTCTATAGTGAAAATGGAAGCAAACAATATTTCTTGATTTCATCGACCACTCTCCTATTATCTACTAACAACACCCTATTTTCTCTCTCTCTCGCCCCCTCTCCCTCTCTCTCTCGCCCCCTCCCCCTCTCCTCCCCCCCCCCCCCCCCCCTCTCTCATCCCACCCCCTCTCTCTGTCTCTCTCCCCGACACCCCACC